TTCTTCGAAGCCGTCAGTGTTCGATTTCCGGTCGTATCTGGTTTTCATGTTCTCGCTTGACTGTAGCCCATTTTCCCGAACCAAGGCGTGTATATAGCGCATTTTTTCCCTTAAATTGCAGACATAGTCTTGTACGGTCTGTGGCCCCTCCGGTGACCCTCCTGTCAATAGGTCTACTGGTAATCGTAGTTCTCTACCGTAATTGACATACGCCGGAGTAGCTTTTATGCTCTCATGCTCGGCGGTTCGGTACGACAGAAGGAAGAGTGGTATATACTTGTCCCAATCCTTTTGTTTGTCGTCTACCAATTTCGCCAGATGCCTCTCAAGGGTCTGGTTAAATCTCTCATTCATTCCATCAGACTGTGGGTGGCACGCGGTGGTCCTCGTCTTATGCATGCCCAAAATTCTACACACTTCCTGGAATACTTATGATTCGAAGTTCCTGCCCTGATCGGAATGGATTTCTAGAGGCACACCAAAACGACATATCACTTCTTCGACTAACTTAGAAGCGACTGTTGTAGCTTCTTGGTTTGGTATGGCGAACACTTCGGGCCATTTGGTGAAGTAGTCCATGACGACCATAAAATACTTGTTTCCCGATTCCGTTACAGGAAATGGCCCAGCTACGTCAACTGCAATTCGTTCCCACGGTGCACCGACGTTATACAACCGCAGGTTCCCACGGCTTCTGGTCTGTGGTCCTTTTACAGCAGCGCAAGTAGTACATTTGCGGCACCAATCCTGTACATCATCTCGACAATGCAACCAGTAGAATCGTTCTCGCACTTTTGTTAACGTTCTCTTGACACCTAGATGACCTCCTGATACGCCATCATGTATTTCACGGAGAATATCTGGTACTCTCGTTCTCGGGACAATTATCTGAAGATGGAACTCTCTGCCGTTAGTCTTCTCCCATTTCCGGTAGAGTATTCCGTTTTGAAGTATCAGACTGTCCCATTGCGCCCAGTACGCCTTAGTGACAGCGCCAGTGGGTGCAACCTCACTCCAGTTTGGTTTTACATCGCCCCGCTTCTTCCATGTGATGATGTGCCGCAGGTCGTCGTCACTTTCTTGAGCCTCTCTCATAGCATCATTCTCCCTGAGACCCAAAGGACTTGTCCTCGTCAGCTTTAATGTAACTTCATTAGATTCCTGCTTAACACAATGTTTGCAGTCTTCCGAACACGGCCTTCGTGAGAGTGCGTCGGCATTTCCATGCGTCTTTCCGCTGGGGTGTTCCGTCTTGAAGTCATACTCCTGGAGCTGCTCAATCCATCGAGCTACTTGACCTTCCGGGTTCTTGAATTGCAGTAGCCACTTCAAGGCTGCGTGATCAGTTCGCAGTAAAAAACTGTCTGCCGATGAGATATTTGTTGAAATGTTGTAGCGTCTTTACAACAGCCAAGAGTTCTCTTCTTGTTACACAGTAGTTTCTCTCTGGCTTGGATAACGATTTGCTGAAATATGCAATAACAACTTCTCTTTCACCCTGTTTTTGAGATAACACCCCTCCAATGGCCGTGTTGCTTGCATCTGTGTCGACTATAAACTGACCTTCAGATTGTGGATACCCCAGGATTGGTGTTTCACACAGATGTTTCTTCAGTTTCTGAAAAGAATCTTCACAAGTCCCATCCCAACTGAATGGTCGTTTATCTTCTGTTAGCCGATGTTATGGCTTGGCTATCTCTGAGAATCCCTTAACAAAACGCCTGTAGTATGAGCATAGGCCGAGGAATGCCCGCACTTCGGTTTTGTCCTTAGGGGTAGGCCATTTTTGAACTGCTTCAAGTTTCTCCGGGTCTGTCTGAATTCCATCACTGGAGACAACATGGCCGAGATAGTTGACCTTGCTCCTGAATAAACGACACTTTTTCGGGTTCAACTTTAATTTGGCTCCCTCTATTTTGGCGAAAACTCGCTCCAAGTTTCGCAAATGGTCCTCGAAGTCACGGCCGACAATGATGATGTCATCTAGGTAGACTAAGCAAGCCTCTCCAACTAAGCCTGCAAGTACACACTCCATGAGTCGCTCAAATGTGGCAGACGCGTTGCACAATCCGAAGGGCATGACGTTAAATTGCCATTAACCTTTACCGGTCGAGAAAGCTGTCTTCTCCTTGTCTTTTGGATGAATTTCCACCTGCCAGTATCCAGATTTCAGGTCTAGGGTCGAGAACCATTTCATGCCACTTAAGGTATCCAAAGTGTCGTCGATTCGAGGTAACGGTTGTTGTCCTTCTTAGTGACATCATTGAGACGCCTATAGTCCACACAAAATCTCGTGCTACCATCATTCTTCTTCACTAACACAACAGGTGAGCACCACGGACTTGTAGACGGTTCAATAATCTTATTCCTTCTCATGTCCTCCAAAAGGCCTTCAACTTCTTTTTCCTTTGCAATTGGTATCCGTCTTGCTCGTTGACGAATTGGTCTTTCGCATCCGGTATCTATCCTGTGCTGAACCATCGAAGTTCTTCCAAGGTCCCCTTCTTGACTGGAGAAGATATTCGCGTAGCGCTGTAAAAACTTCCTAGCTTTAATGCCCTGCGAAAAAGTCAGATTACTCTTGCAGTCATCGAGTAGCTCAGTCACTAATCCGTAGTTATTGCTGTTTGCCGAGTCTGCGCCTGTAACCGAACTACACTTTTTCATCCAGACAACTTCCTCGCACTTTCCAATGACGTCACCTTTGTTCAAGCAGACCTCGCGATCACCAAGATTCAAGACCTTGACCACAGGGTTACTGCTTCCACTAACAAGGGTTCTCGCCGTCATCAGTTTTTGCGCTGATGTCTTGGTAGGAGTGCCTTCGATCAATACGCATCTGTTTGACACCTTATTTCCAGCTGGCGAAAGTTTCACCAGCACCTGGGCTTCCGCTCGTCCAGGTATAATGACTTTCTTTATACATGCGACTTTCCCGCAGGTGCCTCCGAGAATGAAGATTTCTTCTTCACCACACTCGAAAACTCCGTCAGCGACATTAACTCTGCAGTTATGTTTCTTCATGAAATCCAAACCAAGGATGCAATCATCCACAATCTCAGCCACAATGACGTTATGAGAGTATGATGACCCCCCTACATACATCGTGACTGACATTTCTCCGCAGACGGGTATTGGCTGACCGGAGGCAGTAAGGAGCCGGCAGTTAATTCTCCTCTTGAGTCCCCTTGAGGCTTTTACCAGTTTTGGGTTCACTATTGTTCTAGAGGCTCCTGTGTCTAGAGTCATTTTGAAATCCGACCCGTTAATAATACCCTGAATCACAAGGCTATTCCCGCTGCATGCCTGGGAGATAACAGTTATCGGGGCTTCCTCCGCGTCAGCCAGTACTCGCCCCATAGTACTGGCTTTTATTAGTTTCCCTGATCCCGGGCAGGGGACGAAGCCTCTCGCTTCTTCAGCTCCGCTATTTGTTCCTCGATCCATTTCATCCTTGCCATCTGGGTCTCCTTCTGCGGGCAGTTGAGCTGAAGATGGCCCCTCTCGCCACACTTGTAGCACACGGCTCCAGGACTTCTCTTCGTAGGAGCCTTAACCTCCTTCACTTCCTCAGAGACCTCGCGGATCCTATGGGTCTGCCGTATGTCGTAGCGAACAGCCTCGACCTCCAAAGCGTGCGCCAATGCCTCCTTTAGCGAGGTATGGTGACGAAGCCTCACTGCAGCTCTGACCTCCAGGTCTTTGATTCCGTCCACAAATGCTTGAACAATATTAGTGGCTACCATCTTGGTGTCGGCTCCTGGGTGTGCCTTCCTGACGAGTTTTTCAATTTCCAACGCCCATTGTTGTAGTCCTTCTCCTGAGCGTTGGACTCGGTCACGCAGTTGGGCACGGAACACGTGCTCCAGGTGTCGCTCCCCGTACCTGGATTCAAGTGCCTCCATCAGGTCTTGGAACCCATTTCCTGTATGTGGCAGCTTCCAGGACCGACAAAGCTTGACCCATAGTGGGCGGGGCTTGGTCCCCAGTGGGTGTGGTCTCCGCAGCTCGTGCCCTTGTCCTGACACACTCCTTGAAGTCCTCTCTCGGAGTCAATGGCATCTCCAAATCCCACTTCTGACACCAGTTGTTACGTGTTAGGGGTTCGAAGGATTTGGAGAGAAAGACCTGCTGACTCTTTTGAAGACTTTATTCAATAGCACTAGGTCCAACACAAAGCACTAGGTCCAAACACTAAGCACTAACGGTGTCCTGTTTTGTAGCTAAGTCGTAGGTTTCACTGGTATCGCTCTTGATCACTAGTTTTCGCTCCGAAGTCGCCTCGAAGGTAGCTCAAACTGAACTGTATTCGCTCGCCTCCCCGCGGCTTTTTATATGGGCGAAACCGGTTCCAGACTAATCCAGAAAGATCCTTCCTGGAACGTACCCGACACGCCCGAACATGTTCGTGATTCCGGAAAGTTCGCGAATGTACCCGGTTTTCGAGACTATAGTTCCACAGCAGTTCCTCTAACGCCGTCTAGTATTGAATATGGGGTTTTATTGTCGTCTTTGTTCTTTAGTGATTTTAATAGTTGACGCTAGATGGCGTTAGTTCCTTTGTGTGTTCATAACAATATGTTGATAGAGTTACGTATTTATATTGGTGTGATTACTAATTAGTGCGAAAATTTTGCATGTGTTGTACCTTTATCAATCACCAAATGGCAATATAAAAATGTGTAAAAATGTTATGCCAATGAAAATTATGATTTTATTTTGAAGAATAAGGGTAAAATTCAGACTACTTCGCTATCTTCCATTTAAACAAATCAAGAGTGGCATTATCAAACATTCTATACAAGAAGTTTTTAAACGTAATTTTTTTTAAACGAAAAAACTTTTACTTATTCTACTTGTCTTTCGTGAATAGCCGCAAACAAATTGAATACGGGAATTTGAATCATCAAATTTGATTGTAAATTGTGGGAGTTACAGCGTTCCGTCTAATACACGTTAAGTATTAAGTAGGGAACTAATTTCAAATGGCAAAGACTTACTTGTAGGAACACGTGTAGGATAGCGTGGGGGTCACCGCCGCCGAGCCGCGCCGCTCTCGCGCCAGCCAACAAAAGCCTCATGCAGAACGGCGCAGCGAAGCAGAGGCGTCGCTCCCAAGGCGACCACGCGCGCATCGCCTGGAAACATTGATAGTCCACCGAACCTTATAACATTGCTTATTTGGGAACGCGAATCGGAATTTAAGGAAAATCAAACAGTATGTGCAACAGCCACTTCATCATCATCATCATTTCAGCCTGTTTGAGTCCACTGCTGAACATAGGCCTCTCCCATAGACTGCCACGAAGTTCGTACTTCGTGGCAGTCTATGGGTACATGGATGCAGGATCATTCCAGAGCCACCTGCATCCATCGACTTCCCGCACATTTGCACAGGTCGGCACTCTATCTAGTGGGGGGGTCGTCCTACACTACGATAGCTAGTACAGCCACTTCACAACTCGCTAATTTCTAGTCATAAGGACGAGGCTACAGGGAATAAATATGACATCCATCTAGATGTAAAAAATGTGTGATGTGGTAGAGAACACAACAGCTCGTACATCGTACTTCCCCGGAAGAGCTGCTCGAATGGGCAGCTCTTCCGGGGAAGTACGATGATCTCACAGAAGACCGGCGTGAAACGGAAGTGTTACACTTCTGCGTTTCGTCTGGTTTGTGAGGTAACCGGGCCTTTATTAAAGGCAACGTATCTTAAACTCTAGGGATGTTGAGAATGTTCATGCCCAGCGGTTATCACTTCAAGAGAAGCCACCACGCTTGCGGTAAGGTGTCACAAAACCGACTCTAGGTCTTTCCGTACACTGTAAAAATTCGAGATGAGATCCTCTGATGAAGTTCCTCACTTTATAAAGACCGAGAAGACTCCCGAGGCAGTATACGGCGAGTGCAGTATATCGAAGCAAAGTTGGCGCGCAGTACACGGTTGCGGTCACCATTGGGATTGCACCTGTAACAAATAATAATCTATGAGAGGTGACAACTTTTATCTGTAGTTTACTACAATAGGTCCTAGTGTTGACAGCCCACAAACTGGCAAAATAAATGTGTTTAGTTAGCATTTGTTTGAACTATTACTAGACCAGCTTGTATTTTTTTTAGTGTAACAATTGTTTTTTCGACGATGTTACTCAATAAGGTTATTTGTATTTTGATAAAATTACTCAGGCGCTTATTTCTAATTCAATCGTTGATCATAATTTCAAATGCTTCTTTCACCGCCGAAGAAACAATCTGAGGAAACCTGCATTTTGTCAATAGAATATTTTTAATATATGTTAGCGCAGGCAGGCGGACTTTGTCGTAAGTCTTGACGGTGCCTTTGCTCAGCAATAGCAATATTCTGAATCTAATCTAATAATAATAAAAACGCAAGATAAATAAAAACTAATAATAATAAAAACGCTTTAGATACATCTCTAAAAGAACTAGGCTTACATAAGAAAACATACATACAACTACAGAACTCAGTTATTATTGATTCATTCCATTCCTGCCACAACAAACACGTACAGCACTACACAATGCCACTTGGCATAGCCCGTGAGGTTCATAGTTTCACACAACCAGCGATATCCTGGGATTCGAAATTATAATTAAAGCATGATACTAAAGTTTATTTCAGCCAAAATAAAAAGCTGTTACTATACTTTAACTTATTAATATAAAATTTATATATTTCTGAATTTATCATCGTACATCTGTAAAACAAATTTAATAAAGAATGCCCAATATTGTATTTTATTGAAAGACAGTTTCTTGAATAGGAAGAAAAGATTCTTGATGGAAAGCTTTTATTTCATTGCTGAAAGTTGGAAAATAAAAAAGCTGAAGGGAAAAGTAAGTAAAAGTTATATTCTGTCTCATAATAGTGTTACATACAGTTTTTCTCGGAGGTTCATTTTTAACAAAAGTCGGAATATTAAACATGAATACCGAAACAAAGGCTATCGCGAAGGGAATAATTTAAAAGAATAGTATTGTACTGTTGTATTTGAAAATAACTTTATAGCACTTTGGTTTCCATCTCATCGCAATTATTTTAAGCTTAATATGTCTTATTAGAAATTGCACTAAGCATCTTGCGCCATAAGAACAGTACTGAAATATAAGATTCGCGTCGTGGGCGATTGCTCTTGTATTGTATTACTACATATTCCGAATGTAGATGGTAACAATTTTTATTTTTAAATGTGGTAGGGCCATGCAACTGTCTTCGGTGTTGCACGAATGGGCAGGTCCGTCCGGGAAGTACCGTGACCTTATAGAAGACCGGGCGGCAGCGCATCTGCAACCCTACTGTGTTGCAAATGTAAAAGTGCGGCGGTTATCGCTTAACATCATGGACCGCCAGCTCAAAAATCAATCAAAAAATATGAATTGACTTGGTAGCACAAAATATTTTCATTTCGATCATTTCATTTATCTTATGATATTTTTTTATTTTGATATAGATATTTTAAAAATCGATGAATTTACGTATATTTATGTGTATTACGAAGTGTGTGCTAAGGTTAAACATTTAACACCTATAGTAAGACAATTTCTTATACTTAACATGAATTTTTTGTAAGAACTGGATAAAATGTAAATGTAGAACAAGCAAAAGAAAATAACACTTTTTAATTCGCAAATGCTTTACCCCGCTTTAAGTAATGACGTCTCGGCTTGTAGCTGATAAATAATTTTTGACCCAGTTTCCCAGTTCTGTAGTTTTACCTGTAATGTTACAAAAGAGGTTTGTTTGCACCTGTCCCTTGCTTTATGCTTGGTTTCGTGAGATTGTTTGATTTTATGTTCTCTACAATTTGAGGCGCAGCCGTATGTAGTTACATAAAATGTAATCCCTAACAATAAACGGGTTTTATAAAGAACAGGATCAATACGTCTAACGCTCGTACGGCAAGTCTCCGTTCTAAACTAGAAAAAATCATATACAGTTAATTTAACGGAACGGTATTGTAACAATACGCTTTCAAGTGATTAAAAGACATGAATACCTTAACAATCTTTCATACAAACAAGCCTGCGCAGGATAAGAAAGCTTTACATACACATAAGAAAGCGCTACATTCCACTACTTTATACTGAGTCTAGTTCCTAAGAGCTCTAAAGTTTAACTTAGTACAGATATAGCTATATTAGAACATTGTTAGAATTTTAGTCTTACGTTACGACTCGACCCACGACAGTTTTACGGCGTGCGTACGTGCGTGGTTAACGGGAGTACGTTTTAATGACGACATAATGGAGTTCTTATCACGCGATCAGGCACTTTCAGTGTGGCTTTATTAAAATTTCATTACCCAATCGTTAAAGGTCCAATAACATCAGATTGTAGTAAAAATATATTAACTGTCAAACATATTAATTGTTCTTGAAAACATAGTAAGGAAATCTTGTCTAATAATTTGTCTAATTATTTAATATTATATGTAGCAGCATATGAATTATTTTAAACACTAAAATATCGTAGGTACAGTTTTTTCTTGGAGGGTAAATGAGCAAAATTTTCTGCTAAAATAAGGTTATATTTTATATATTATAACACATTTCTACAAAAACATAATATATTTCATGAGAAATTATGGTATAATAAATAAACTCGATTTTAATTCGGTCAATGCAGCGATAATTTGAAATATACAAGAAAATTGAAATGCAACTTCCATATCGTAACGAGTTAACTTTTTAAAACCCAGCACGTTGCTAGCCGCGGCTTGACCCAATTGCGTTAATATTCCAATGGGTATGCATTTCTGCCGGATTTTAATTGCAAATGTGTTTGTTTTTTCGCGTAACATGTGGCTTATGGTAATAAAATTCTAGCAACTTTATTTTCCACGTATAATTTCAGCAATATGAAACGGTTTAATTTTTGAGAAGTATTTGTTACACAAACAATGTCATATTTAAGTGTACTATGAGAACAATTAGAATACTTTAAATATATATTTTGAAGAACGAAAGAGGATTTTACAGTGAGGCTATCTTTGTTACATTTTGATATCACATAAAAATAATGTTAAGTAATATACTAGTATCTATCTATCCTTGTAAGAAAATCATTTTCAATCACAAAAGCACCCAATATCTCTGTCACCTTGGCACCAGGACTAAAGAAAAGTGATTTTTATAATTTGTATGATTTAAGTCGATAAATGTCTAATATTAATAATACACAAAGATACATAATTACATACATATATGTTACAGTATCTAATGTGATGTTGTAAAAAAATATAACTAAAATAAATAAATAATTGTTTAATAAAACTACAGTGGGGTACTTGACATCAAATAATTAATAGGATAGGTTTTTGGTAGTGTAATAGACCACCACACTCTATTTTACAATAAAATTATTTGTTTTTGCTAACTTAATTTTTACTTTATAATTATCAAAATTCCTTTCTAGTGACTAGTATATAGTTCCATCTGGATGTAAAAGCTTAAATTAAACTATTGAATTTTATAACATGGAGATATATTTATTTTTATCTATGTGATTGTATTGTGTTTGAAAAACAATTTGTAAGCGATTGCAAAATATTTAGCAGTCTTTCAGGTTCGTTCTGCGAAAAAATAAAACATGACGAAAAATGGCTACCGCATTCGACCATCGGCGTTCAGTAATTAAGCCGAATGGGACGAGCAATCAAGTTCAAACAAAACTAATAAGTGCTGTTTCCCGGCCAACATTACTCGTACTTCTTATTTTTATTGTTACTCTTCTGTATATTGTATTGTATTGTATTAAATTCATATTGCCTTCTATTATAGATTATAATTATGATTCTATTATAGATTGATAAATTATGATTTTATATTATGAATATTTTCAAGAGGTTCTTATGTACTAGTTCACTTCTAAAATGTTATATCTAACTGACACACAATATTCGTCACGGGTGTAAAGCAATCAAATATTACGTGATTCTATAATACGTATAATTTCTCGGCGGCTTGGATGTCATTGCAAAAAATGCAATGAAAAGTGTCATGATTCTAGACGCAGAGGTTTATTATTGCACGTTTAAGTTTTACTTAGAAGATATGTAAGTAGCATTCAAATTTAGAGGAAAAATGTAAGCGATTTTAAGTAAGTTTCTTTTTGCACTTTTCACGGAAATTACGAGATATTTTCATGATTATCTGACGTAGAAGAAACTCCTGACTTAAACTGCACCTTAAGTCATTTTGAAGTTACACTTCATTTGGCGCTTTTTAAAAGAAATACGAGTCAAATTTTTATGATGCGCGCGCACACTGCGATTCAAAAAGCGACCTGTGGCTTAATTAACTATGCCAACTATTTTCTTAATAATAGATGTTAGGTAACTTATTAAATTATATCAGCTATTAATTTAAAACATAAATGAAATATTTCTATTCCCCGGCTTTAGGAACGAAAATCCTGTTGCATAACTACAGAGTGCATTCGGGACAGACTTAAGCGTGGCATCAGTTTTCATACAGAATTAGGTCTTTTAAAAGTTGGTTACAAAGCGACCAACTTTGACCAACTTCACGGAATATCGTAAAAGTATTTATATTTACTTATAATTTACAAAGTTATTTAAATAAATCGTTTACAATTGCATTTAATGTATTTTTCACAAACAAAGAGTACTGGCGTAGGGGGATAAAATTGTTTAGATATTTTTCTTTTGTTACGCTACTGAAGTATTACTTACCTACGTAAGTACACACATATTTTTTTATTCATCTAAAATTACATGTTATCTAAAAACCTAATCCACGGGGCATGGTGCCATGAACGCTAGCTGCATTTCCTCGCTGAATAGTTATACTTAACCTTTGAGCGAGAAAAGAACCAGCTCTCTTGTCACCAGCCGCGGTATTAAGTCTAGGACTTAAACTTTAAAAAAAAAAGTGATGTTCAGGGACCCCACGGACCTAAAGTTTCAACAGCAAATGGCACAAATA